TTTGATGCTATTTGCGTAATTGTGGATCAGTTGACCAAGTCCGTGCATTTCATTCCAGTTGGGGTTACTTATTCTTCGGAGCGGTTGGCTGAGATCTACATTCGCGAGATTGTTCGCCTGCACGGTGTGCCGGTGTCCATCATTTTTGATCGGGTCATGCAGGTTTGGAGAGCAGTGGAGCAAGAGTTGGGCATACGAGTTGAGTTGAGTACAACATTCCACCCTCAGACGAACAGACAGTTCGAGCGCACTATTCAGATATTGTGCTACGGCGCTTCTGTCATAGACTTCGGGGGTGCGGGGGATCACTTTCTACCGCTTGTCGAATTTTCCTACAGCAACAGCTACCAATTGAGCATTCAGATGGCTCCGTATGAGGTTTTGTATCAGAGGCGGTGTCGGTCTCCGGTGGGTTGGTTTGAGTTGGGTGAGGCTAGGTTATTGGGTACTGACATGGTTCGGGATGGGAAATGCGGCAGGTTTGTGACCGCAGAAGTGTTGTGCGAGCCTCAAACCAACTGCAGACTGAAGCAGCTAGTCCGGCTCATGAAGAGATAAATATGCAGTCCATTATACGGTCGCATAACGCTTCTGAGGATCGCATAATGACCGCATAAGTGCAAATGATATTCCACGAGAGCACTCTTTGCGACGCAATCTGCTGTCGCATAATATGCAGACCGCATAATGGATCTACGACAGAGAATTGGGCAACTGGGCATGCAATTATGCGGTGACCTTATAATTCTGCGGACCGCATACACGATTTGCGACCCATTCTGCGGTCACAGATGTGTTTTACAGGGGCATTTTTGTCTAAATTTCCCGGTTTTTGGCCCATTATAAATAGATTTACTAGGGTTTTTGTGGGACATCTTGTCTGAAAAAGAGGCTACATTAAAGGCATTGAATACACCATTGTTTTGGAAGCGTGTGAAGAGAGAATCTTATATCTTTGTAAGCTTTATGACTTTATTTATTGCTTTGTTCTTGGATTCTAGTATAAGTAGCTAACTGTAAATACTAAGGTTGTGGACCCTAAATGAGTGTAATGTTAATGGGTGTTTACTATTGAATTTATATATAATGGTTGATTGATATTTATTCATTTATTGTTAGTGGTTGCAAACATTAACTAATTCCATTTCACTCTAGCTTTACTTGGAAAAGTGGGTTAGGGTTTGGTAGAATTGAATATCAAAAACTCAAGGCTTTAAACCTTGTTTAATAGAATCACCTAGGAATAAGTGGGTTCTATTTGGCATAAATTAGTTATTTTTAATTGTAACTCTTTTATATTTGGGAAAATCATAAAGAGAAAATATTACCCAACTATTGGGAAATATTGGGTAGTCACTTAGAAACCATTTGCATATCAAAGGACTTTCCATTAGAAATATATCATATTAACACTGATAGCATTACATTCCATTGATGGGGACACAACCTTGGTTTCCTTAATCACATTAATTACATTCTCATAACAAAATAGTTTTCTCGATAGCTCATAATTATAACACTCTCTTTTAAGCTAACAGAGTAGGATTACGACTTATGTCAAGTTTCACACTATTCAAGTAACTTTTTCTCACCTATTCCCTGGGGGATTCGACCCCAACCTAGTTGGGTTATTATATTTGACATCAACTGCCTTGCACAATTTATTTAGGTGTAATTTGAGCGTATCAAAATTTTGGCACCGTTGCCGGGGAATACGGTTTTGAAATTACTATTTAGTGTATGCTTTACTTTATGTCTTCTTCTATTCCATCACACTTTGCTTGCTTTACCTGGTGTTACTAGGTAAGCATGGCCGAGTTGGAAGAAGAGAACCCTTTTGCGGATATAGATGAGTATATTGAGGACACAAATGCCATTGTCCCTCCAATAGTTGATGCTGCCACCTTCAAGGTGGAACATAGTCTAATCCTAATGCTCAAAGCGGGGGGGTTTCAGAAATTCCACCGATGATCATCCGACACAACATCTCAGAAACCTCTTGGGAGTGTGTGCGCTGGAGAGGCAAGGAAATAGATCCAAAATTTACCACCTAATTCCATTCATACTTGGCCCGAACTCGTTCGAGCTTTCCTAGCTAAATGGTTCCCGCAAAGCAAGAAGTCAGAGCTCCGGGATAAAATTTTCTTCTTCAAGCAAGTACCGGGAGAACATCTACATGAGACATGGGATCGATTCAAGTTATATTTAGTGAGGTCGCTGAATCATAGTTTTCTGGACAACATCTTGTTGGAGAAGTTTTTTATGGGCTTGGATCCTTTGAATCAATCCATAGCCAAAAATGCAGCTGATGGATCCTTTATGGATAAAACATTTACATGGGTCATGCAAATTCTTGACAAGATGGAAAACCATAACCAAGCTTGGCACTCGGAAGACACTACGAGTGGAATTGAATATGGTACTCCTTCCTTGACCAGAATGATTAAGGAGAACCAAGAAAGAGATCAAGTAATTGTCGGGCTTGCTACTAACATCAATGTGTTGACCAAGATGTTTACTGAAAGCCAAACAAAAAAGGTAAATGTTGTGGAAGATGTGCAACCCTTGTCAAACGAGGATTACGAAGAAGCAAATTATGTCAACAACGCTCAAGGCGGTTATCAAAGACAACCCTATCAAGGTCCTGGGCAACAAAATCAATGGAGGTCTAACCCACACGGGCAAGGCCAACAACAATGGCGAAATGATCAAGATAGTTCAAACTAAGGTAATTGGAGTAACAACAACAACAACAACTATTCCAATCAGAGGTCAAACCCCTATGTTCCACCAAAGGGGCAACACTCTAACTCTGCGCATTGGAAGGAAAGTTCTTCAAGTGAGTCCAAATTGGAGAACATGCTTGAAAGAGTGTTGCAAAATCAAGAAAGATCTGACACTTCAATGAAGAACATGACTGAGCTTGTGGGTTCTCACACCGCATCCATACAAAAGTTAGAAATGCAAATGAGAGATCTATCAAGAGAGCAAAATCCGAAGCAAAAGGGCACACTCCCAAGTGACACAATAGCAAATCCAAAAGGTAATGGGAATGGTCCGACTTCTCATTGAATGGCAATCACAAATAGAAGTGGGAAAATACTTCAAGGAGAGAATTAACAAGTGGTCGAAGTGGAATATCCATAACAAGAGGTTGAGGCACAAGTTGAGGTGCCAATTGTTGTTGAAGCTGAAAGACTCCTAAAGAAGGTGAAAATTCAAGAAGTGAACCATGAATAGGTTAAGGAAAAGGTAAAGGAGGCACCAAAAGCTCTAGCACCAATTCCTATACATCCCCTCTTTTCCCTCAAAGATTTGCTAGGAGGGTTGATGATAGCAAACTCGAGAAATTCTATGACATTCTCAAGCAATTATCGGTGAACATTCCATTTGTGGAAGCATTTCAAGAGATGTCGGGTTTTGCCAAGTAATTGAAGGACTTAATCACCAAGAAGAAAACCACCAAAAATGAAGTGGTGGATGTGACTCACCGGGTTAGCTCCATCATTGCAACAACTACCGTTCAAAAGAAAGAAGACCCGGGAGCTTTTACCATTCGCCCTTCTGTGGGTTTTTGTCTTCTTTTCTGTGTTCTTGGTTCTTCAAGTCTGATACACTGCAAAACACCAAAACTTGATAAGATATAACTAAAAGTGTTTTAAAAGACGAGTTAAAGTCTATGTAATTGGTATCTAAAGTGCCGAAATTCTACGGCACATGAGGCATTGCATAGCCCAGATGGTACGGACTAAAAGCAAAGGTTCCATACGGACATGTGAATGTCATCTTCTTTTGGTCCTCTAAGGCTATGTTGATTTGGTTGTAGCCGGATTAACCATCCAAGAAGCAATAAAATGACTTTCCCGCTAGCCGATCAAGCATTTGAACAATAAAAAGCATAGGGAAATGGTCTTTGCAAGTAGCACTATTGAGCTTCTGGTAGTCCATGAAAACTCTCCGCTCAGTTACCGTCCTCATTGGGATGAGTTCATTTTTATCATATTTAATCATAGTCATGCCCCTTTTCTTCAGCACACATTGCACCGGACTCACCCAAGGACTATCGGCAATGGGGTAGACAACCTCGACATCCAACCATTTTATGATTTCTTTCTTCATCACCTCTTGCATGGAATGATTTAACCTCCTTTGGAGCTCCACGCTAGGTTTGCTCTCTTCCTCCAGGTGTATCTAGTACTCACAAATTCCGGCGGGAATCCCTCGAATATCTGCTATAGTCCAACCAATGGCCTACCTGTGCTCTCTCAAGGTATCCAATAAGTGTTCAACCTGCACATCATTCAACAAAGAAGAAACAATTACGGGTAGAGTTTCATTAGACCCAAGAAATTTATACCTTAAGTGTTGCAGAACTAGCTTGAGCTCAAGTTGTGGTGGCTCGATAATTGAAGGCTTAGCGGGAGGAGTGACTCTATTCTCTAAGTCAAGAGAAATCTTCTTTGGTGCATAAGTGTAGGAACCAAGCCCTTCCAACGCATTTACCGATTCCACGTATCCTTCCATGTCCTCACCATCAAAATTCACCAAAATAACTGCCAATGCCTTACCAAGGCATTCCTATTCAATCTTCACCTCGATGGCATCCTCTACCGCATCAACAACATCAATGATTGAGATACTCTTGTATACATGTGGCAATTTCATACCCTTACTTGCTTGGAAGGTAACTTCTTCGTCATTAACCCGGAACTTAATCTCATTTCGTTCTGAGTCCATGTTTGCTCTCCCGGTAGCAAGGATGGTCTCCCTAAGATGATAGGGATCTCTTTATCAATAGCACAATCTAGAATAACAAAGTCGGCGAGGAGGAGAAACTTCCCCACTTTCACAAGCACATCATCAACTATTCCCACCGGTCGCTTTATTCAACGGTCGGCCATTTGCAACCTCATACTTATAGGCCTAGGAATTCCCAATCCCACTTGCTTGTAGATAGCAAGAGACATTAAGTTAATGCTAGCCCCATTATCACAAAGGGCTCATGAAAAGTCACGCAATCCAATGGTGCATGGAATGGTGAAGGCTCCCAGGTCCTCTTTCTTTTGGACGACAGTTGTTGCAATGATGAAACTAACCCGGTGAATGACATTCACCACTTCATTCTTTGTGGTTTTCTTTTTAGTGATCAAGTCCTTCAAGTACTTAGCAAAACCCGACATCTCTTGAAACGCTTTCACAAATGGAATGTTCACCGATAATTGCTTTAGGATGTCATAGAACTTCTCGAATTTGCTATCATCAACCCTTCTAGCTAGTCTTTGGGGGAAAAGAGGAGGATGTCTATGAATTGGTGCTAGAGGTTTTGGTGCCTCTATTACCTTCTCCTTAACCTCTTCATGGTTCACTTCTTGAGCTTTCACCTTCTTCGGGAATCTTTCCAATTCAACAACATTTGGCACCGCAACTTGTCCCTCGACTTCTTGTTCAGAATCTTCTACTTCAACCACTTGTTCATTCTCTCCTTGAAGTAGTTTCCCACTTTGAGTTGTAATGGACATGCAATGAGAAGTTGGGCCACTCCCACTACCTTTTGGATTTGCAATAGCATCACTTGGGAGCATCCCTTTTTGCTTTGGGTTCTGTTCTCTTGATAAATCCCTCATTTGCATCTCCAACTTTTGAATAGATGCGGTGTGAGAACCCACAAGCTTGGTCATATTTTTCATTGAAGTGTTGGATCTCTCATGATTTTGCAATACTCTTTCAAGAATGCTTTCCAACTTGGAATCACTTGAAGAACTCTCCTTCCAATATGGAGAGTTGGAATATTGCCCCTTTGGTGGAACATAGAGGTTTGAACTCCGATTTGAGAAGTTGTTGTTGTTATTACTCCAATTTCCTTGATTTGGACTACCTTGGTCGTTTCTCCATTATAGGTTACCTTTCCCTTGCGGGTTAGATCTCTATTGGTGTGGTTGTCTGGAACCTTGGTAGGGTGGTCTTTGATATCCTCATTGTGAATTGTTGATATAATTTGCTTCTTCATAGTCCTCATCTGACATTGGTTGCACATCTTCCATAATATTCACTTTCTTTGTTTGGCTTTCAGTGAGCATGTCACGACGCAAACTGATGGGCCGCGACGGGCACCCGGTACCTTACTCAACCGAGTACCAACGTAATGTATCTTTCATATCATACTATCATAGGTAAATGAGCCAAAGAGGCTGTCGTGAGATAAGTAGAATAAAACATGAGGAACTACTCAACATTGGACGACCCAACATATAATACAAACTTATACATATGACATACGGGCCTATAAGACCAAAATGATCACTCGTACACTGAACATAGGCCGACAAGGCCATACAATCTTTCACGTATATGACATATGTCTACAAGCTTCTAAGAGTAGATAAACACCATAAAGGTCGGGACAGGTCCCCGCCATACTAATCAATACATGACCAAATCATACTGACCAAATAAATAACTCCGAAGCAAATGGAGCGCACCAACACCTTCCGCTGAGCCGATAACCTACTTGGAGGACTCTCAACCAGTCTATCGGGACCTGCGGGCATGAAATATAGTGTCCCCGGGCAAAAGGAATGTCAGTACAAATAATGTACCGAGTATGTAAGGAATGAAAATCAGTAAATAATAAACATGAGAGGAACATGGAGTAATAGACTCGACATGTATGTCTGAATAGCTCTGTGAATTATTTAATATTTATAATTTCATGCGTATGCGTATAAATGTCATACCATGCATAGGTATATGCGTTCATAACATCATCAAGCCTGTGAGGGCATCCCATCATCTCATCTCGGCCACTGTGGGCAAATTATCAACGTATACCAGCTGATAAGGTGGTGGTGCATATATAGCGTCATAACCATTTCCCGTATCCTATATACATATAATATACGCGTATATAACACCATCTGGTCATGGGTTAATGTACATGTATAAATGCATCAAATGCATAAGAAGTGCGTTAATAAGATTTCTCGGAATGTCATAAGATCACTATGCTTTTCGAATAACTTTATCAACTACATATTTTTTTGAGACCCATGAACAGAAGATATAATAATAAGACACATGGATAATCAAGAATATAGACACCCCTAGTATTTCTATGAATAGAGTTATTAATCCCCCATTAATTCAATAATTAACCAATTACCCACATAATTAAGAATTATCTCAAATTACTTAAAATACTACTCACTTTTAACACACTTTATGTATCCTACTATCATGGTCATGTGGTACCTTATATGACACTAGTCCATAAATACTGGGTATAGCTTAGACCGTATTTTATCTCAAAATGTCAAACTTCGACGAAACTCATTTTCTTCTATTCGCTTACCCTCTCACCTTCACGAATTTACTTATCACTTGTTTGAAATAGCGTAATACTTAAATCTCAAAATAATCCCATTCCCAAACTTATGTCGATTAACTTACGACGAAGCTTTAATGTACGAAACGCAAAATGTAACATCGCATTTCCGAGCTTTCATCAATTTACTTATGGCGTACTTTCACGTACGAAAATATAGGGTGTAACATCATTCCCCTCTTTGGAACATTCGTCCTCGAATGTTGACTGATGATCTTATCATTTTCATAACCTATGTCTTCCGAATACTTTAGCCATCTAGGCAAATGTTTTGTGAATAAATCCAAAGGCCAGGGCATTCCCCCTGTTAGGCCTCTTTCTCACACCACGGCCTGTGGTCGGAATTCTTCCATTCCCGTAACTTTTGCTACCTTCTGTCATGCAGCATGTACGACTTTTTTCTTGTATGTGCGCCTATGCGACTCTTTCCTCTAGCTTTTAGCCAATCTCTAGGCCTCACTTTGTGAACATATACAGAATTATGACAAGTTGTCCCTCTGGGCGTCATTCGCTTTACTACATCAAAGTAGGCCATACTATACCATCACTCTTACTTCGATTTATCTTTATTGAGGTCTGCTACCAAACTCCAGGTTACTCTCGTTGCTCATCCTAAATGTATAAATCTAAGTCCTTTAATGCTTCTTTATTACTGTTCATCTTAAGACTAATGGCCTAATCTCATCTCATACTTTGTAACTTTTATCCATCCATTGTTGATTCACCTTAATGTTGATCTATAATCTACCACTGATAACTTGACCTCTTATGTAACACTACCGCTAGGGCTCACGTCTTATCGAGGAACATTTGAAGTGATTTTCCTAATCCACCTGGGGGCGATACCATACTTCCATAACTGTATTTCATAGCATCCCAATGTGATTCACCTTACGTGGGTATTTTAATCTTGTGTTGTCCGTGAAATCCCTTTTTTTTCTTCAAATCATTACTCAATCGAAGGCCCAAACGTCATCCTTATCTATCACAATTGCACCCTTATTCTACTACCAGGGAAGCATTCCATCTCTTCTTAATGCTATTAGTCTTGGACTCTTTTGAGTTCATTCAGGCTATACTGAGCTTTCTATAACTTAGAGAAACCATTAGATCTCTTGTTTTCATGGGCTTAATACCGAGGATTTATCCATTGTCGTCACCTTCTCACTCGCCCTTTTTTTATCCTTACTCCTGTCTTCCAAAAACCTTGTCACTTTACCATAGTTTAGCTTGCGACTTACACATATCTATTTATACTACTCGCAACCTTCCTTAAACTTGCTTGCATCATAGATTTCCTTATGTCATTCTGGAACATCAAGCGAGACATCACATCGCCTCTAACTCTTCTTTACTCTCTTAATTAGACTTCTCGATACCTAGAACCCATAGGCTGGAAAATATGCCACTGACGGCGCCGCTATCATTCCTGGATACAGAATCCTAGCGTTTCTAGCCCTCTATCTGAAGTATAGATTGTTCACAACCTTCTGCACCTGAGTATCTCGTACGTTGTTCACATTTACCTTACTTACCTTAAAATCTCGCATCACATCTTCTATCTCTTTCATGACCTTCCTTCCACATAGGTATAATTCACATCCACATACTGACTTCTTATGAGGCCGGTACTCTTCATAGAATATGGTTGTTGTACTCTTGTACTTCTGACACTAATAGTGATTCGTCAATGTTTTCAATCACGATTTCTATAATTTTTTGGGTCTAATAATCAGACTCCTAATTTATTTTGTTGATGTAACTCTTTAGTTTTCTCTTTCTTATGATCAGCCTTTATGTAGGCTTAAGCTATCTTCCGATCTGCGGCTCCTGGTATTAGTTATTACTTTAGCCCTTCATGGACGCTATGGAATATTCATGATACAATCTTCTAATAATTCAATCCTTTGTCTATGACCTGGACTTAATTTTTTTCTTTTAACTTATACCGGAGTCTTCTACGGCTGTATGATTGTCACCATATATGCTGCGTGGATAATACTCTGAAATCTTAAGTGTGTTCATAACGTAACTAACTCTGGATCATTGATCGAATAATTCCTTTCGTTCCTTCTCAGCTTTCTTTAAACATAAGTTATTACTTTTCCTGGTCTTTCTTACCCCTTGTTGCGTGCATACTTAGCTTATCTTAGTTTTCACGAATGCCGGAATTTTCATGCAACTCATATGATCTCGAATATTACTTTTGAATTTTTTTCTTTTTCCCGTTCATTAGCCACGATAGGTGCCACTTTCTTATGGAGTGCATACATTGTTGTTGTGAGACTGTTATTACAAGAAAATTTCCTCTTTAGGTCACTATGCTTAGGTTGAAGCCTTCTTCCTTATTTCCTCAGCTAGTCTTTCATTGTAGTATTTAGGGAAGACCTTCTAACTCTTGTAAAGATGTGAGCTTATTACATCGTATACTCGACGGAATTTTTTTGATGTCCTTCCTCGCCTATAATTATCCGTAGTTACTTACCTCTACTCCCTTGTGCTTGTAGGGTTGCTCTTGAATTGATATTTTGACTGTCTTCCTAGTGGCACTCTTTTTTATTTTAGTAACACTCATACGGTACCTTTAACTACCCTAACTCCTATCTGAAATTTTTTTATTTTCAACAATTGCGATTTCATAGCTGCGAGACTGAATTCCCTATGCTGGGGTTCAATACATTTATCTTGCACGATCTATTAATTTATTTGTGTCCTTTTGTCTAGCCATAACTAGACTCTTCCTGAATCAACTACTAACTATTCATTGGCCCATTCTCATATCAACATTCCGCGTAATATTTCTTGGGCTATTTCCTTTGTCTTAACTTACGTCTCGCACTGGCTCCTTATCTATTAATAACATCTCGGGAAGGAACCCTTACTTCCTCTCCTTGACGTCGTGTTTGCATAATGTTCTAGAATTGTTGCATATCTGTAGGATTTGAATGAGCGCAACCTTATCCCTTTCTCATTTTTATCGCATTCTCCCTTTACCATTCCATAGTTACTAAAACCATTTAATTCTGACTTAGTGCCACATCACTCCATATTCCCCCCTTTAGGGGAGTACTAAGATTTAGTGCCACAACGATCTACCTATAGATGTTTTACCTCTTTATCTTTGGCGTCTTTTCACATTATCGATGACCCTCACTCGCCTTGCGGTAATCTACTGTACCAAGGATAACAAAATTCCTTACTCACGAGGGTGACACTTAGTGTAACTGGCATACATAGTCCCTTAAGCTTAACTTTGCTCACATTGCTTGCTTTAGGGAAGCATCTTCCTGAATGACCTTTAAAGGTTATTCTTCTGTCGTCCATTCTATTATTGCCAGAATGCAATCTGAAATTCTCATGATGCCGACTATTATCAAATCACTCAGTCCCTAATTCATGTTTAGTTTATCTTGTTCACCAGCCCATACTGATTTCTATTACTCTGGGGTCTAACTTTTCCTTCTGGTAATCACGCTAGAGTCACGAACTTATTTCTCAAAATGAGGATATGACTTTATGGCCTATATTCTTTTGTTGTCTCAAGGCCTGTCACCTCTCATCTTTTCCTTCACTTGACTATAGACTCTGTAATACTGCCATTTTTTTATCTACCGTTGTCATCTATGTATCACATCTTACTCATAATGCTTCATTAACTCTCTTCTTATTTCCCTGCTAATATTTCTATCTATCACTTTATTCTGAAAACTTCAACAAGACATCATTTGCTTTTAGCTCCCCTTGCTCCATCTACTGGCTCTTCGGGTTGCCTAACATTCTTTCTCTACTAATGAACTAAGATAATATTTATCCCTTCCAGGATTCCAGTGCCATTCTTTGTAGTACTCATATCTAGCTGTACTATTTTAGAGTGCACCATCTGGGTGTCTCACAAGAAGATCCATTACCACGTTTGCACTACCTATCCTTCGAAAATGTCAACTAACACTAACAATCCATCCACCATTTTGGGTTACTCTAACCCCAGCCAGATCCTGATATCCCGTCCTTCTCTTAAACCATATCTGTTAGCTCTCATAGGGCATAACTGAGATAGGTGTGGCCGATTATACATACCTCTATTACTGTTGAGGGTAACTCAAAAGGCTTATATTTCTCTGCCTGAATTGTAAATACTGATAATCTTCATTAACTGGGTAGCTCATACCCTCCTTCACCTTGCTTCTTTTACTTGTTGAAACTTGTATCTACCTTCTAAATCTCTCATTTCTTTTCACCATATGGGTGGATAGATATTCTTGCCTTAAGGCTCCTTATCAAGAAGCTTTACATATCTTAGTACATATATGATCTGCTGAAGACCTTATATTTACTCATCATAAGCATCATGCAAAAATCGGGTTCTTCTGACCCAACTTTTCCACGGCCATAGTCAATCTCTTACCAGCTGTCTTTTGGATGTAGGCGTCATTGTATTACGAGTAAAATAGAGTTTAAGAGTTTGAATTCTTATAACTGAGCTCTACCACACGATCTAGAGTACGAAGAACAAGTGACAGTCCTAATTGCCTTGTAGCCTCCTGCTTATAAGTGTGGTGCATAACACACCCATAAACAAGACTCTACTAGACACGGCTTGTAGACTCCCTCGTACAGAACAACTCTGATACCACTTTTTTCACAACCCAAACTGATGGGCCGCGACGGGCACCCGGTATCTTACTCAATCGAGTACCAATATAACGTATATTTCGTATCATACTATCATAGGTAAATGAGTCGGAGAGGTTGTCGTGAGATAAGTAGAATAAAACATGAGGAACTACTCAACATTAGACAACCCAATATGTAATACAAACTTATACATATGACATACGGGCATATAAGACCAAAGTGACCACTCGTACACTGAACATAGGCCGACAAGGCCATACAATCTTTCACGTACATGACATATGTCTACTAGCCTCTAAGAGTAGATAAACACCATAAAGGTCGGGACAGCGCCCCGCCATACTAATCAATACATGACCAAATAAATAACTCCGGAGCAAATGGAGTGCACCACCTTCCGCTGAGCTAATAGCCTACTTGGAGGACTCTTAACTTGTCTATCAGGACCTGCGGGCATGAAACGCAGTGTCCCCAGGCAAATGGGATGTCAGTACAAATAATGCACCGAGTATGTAAGGAATGAAAATCAGTAAATAATAGACATGAGAGGAACATGGAGTAACAGACTCTGCATGTATGTCTGAATAGCTCTGTGAATCATTTAATATTTATAATGTCATGCGTATGCGTATAAATGTTATACCATGCATAGGTATATGCGTTCATAACATCATCAAGCCTGTGAGGGCATCCCATCATATCATCTCAGCCCCTGTGGGCAAATCATCAACGTATACCAACTAATCAGGTGGTGATGCGTATATAACGTTGTAACCTTTTCCCGTATCCCATATACATATAATATACGCGTATATAATGTCATCTGGTCATGGGTTAATGTACATGTATAAATGCATGAAATGCATAAGAAGTGTGTTAATAAGATTTCTCAGAATGCATAAGATCAATATGCCTTTCGGATAACTTTATCAACTACATATTTTTCTAAGGCCCATGAACAGAAGATATAATAATAAGACACATGGGGACTCAAGAATATAGACACCCCTAGTATTTCTATGAATAGAGTCATTTATGAAAGTTGCGTATTTTGCTCGTTTCGTTTGTATCATTTGGATCATGCCAAAAAGAAAGAAGGAATAGCCTTAACATACCTGAACCGATTCTCTTGACAATCCCTCTAACACACGTCTTTTGCAAAGAACGCGTAATGGTGGATCGAATTAGGAAAACATCCATATGATATTATTGAGAAAGATTGTACCGTACTCCCTTAGAATCGCGATTTCACGCTGCTGCAGTTTCATACGAATTGTTGAGCTTCATTCGTTACTTTTGTTGAAGATTTCATATAAACTCCTTGTTTTGAGATTTCATCCGTTAGCTTAGCAAGCATAAGCATCTCATTCTTAATGATGGGAAAGTTTCTTAAAATTGGGGGTTGTGGGCCCCACTCTTGTGGATGACTTGGCCAATCATTTTTCTAAATATGCCACATGGTATGCAAACCAAAGAGTCACTTATCACCCCATTTGACTTTTTCCCACATTGGGTCCTTTTAGGCTTTATCCAAGATCTTAATTAATTACCCCCCCCCCCAATTCCTTAATCAACTTATTAATCCCCCACTAATCCAATAATTAACCAATTACCCACATAATTAAGAATTATCTCAAATTACTTAAAATACTACTCACTTTTAACACACTTTGTGTATCCAACTATCATGGTCATATGGTACCTTATATGACCCTAGTCCATAAATATCGGGTATTATAGCTTAGACCGTATTTTATCTCAAAATGTCAAACTTCGACGAAACTCATTTTCTTCGATTCGCTTACCTTCTCACCTTCACGAATTTACTTATCACTTATTTGAAATAGCGTAATACTTATAATCTCAAAATAATCTCATTCCCGAACTTACGTCGATTAACTTACGACGAAACTTTAACATACGAAAACGCGAAATGTAACATCACATTTCTGAGCTTTCATCAATTTACTTATGGCGTAGTTTCACGTACGAAAACATGGGGTGTAACAGAGCATTATTGTCAACACATTGACATTGGTAGCAATCCCGACAATTACTTGATCTCTTTCTTGGTTCTCCTTAATCATGTTGGTCAAGGAAGGAGTACTATATGCAATTCCACCCTTGGTGTCTTCTGCATGCCAAACTTGGTTATGTTCGGCCATTTTGTCGAGGATTTGTGTGATCCTTGCAAATGTTCTATCCATAAATGATCCATCTGCCGCATTTTTGGCTATCGATTGATTCATAGGATCCAAGCACATATAAAACATCTCCAACAAAATATTATCCAGAAAACCATGATTCAGTGACCTCACCAAATATAGCTTGAATCTATCCCATGCCTCATGTAGATGCTCTCCCGGTAATTGCTTGAAGAAGAAAATTACTGATCTATATAGTAGGATTAGACTGTGTTCCACTATGAAGGTAGCAGCGTCAACTCTAGGAGGGACAATGGCATTTGTATCCTCAATACACTTATCTATATCCGCAAACACATTCTCTTCGTCCGGTTCGCCCATGTTTACCTAATGACACCAAGCAAAGTGTGATGGAATAGAAGAAGACGTAAAGTAAAATACACACTAATTAGTAATTTCAAAACGGTATTCCCCGACAACGATGTCAAAATTTGATACACTCAAATTACACCTATATAAATGGTGTAAGGCGGTCGATGTCAAATATAGGGGTCGAATCCCACAGGGAATAGGTGTGAAAAGGCTACTTGAATAGTGTGAAACTTGACTTAAGCCGTAGTTCGACTCCGTTAGTTTAAAAAGAGTTTTGTAATTTTGAATTGTCAAGAAAAGCTATTTTGTTAAGAGAATTTGATTAATTTGATCAAGAAACCAAGGTTTGTCCCCATCAATGGAATGTAATATTATCGGTGTTAATATGATATATTTATAATGGAAGGCCCTTTGATATGCAAATGATTCCTAAATGACTACCCAATATTTTTCAATAATTAGTTAGTATTTCCTCTTTATGATTTTTCCAAATATAAAAAAGTTACAATTAAAAACAACCAATTTATGCCAAGTAGAACCCACTTATCCCTAAGCGATTCTATTAAACAAGGTTTAAAGCCTAGAGTTCTTGCTATTCAATTCTACCACACCCTAACCCACTTTTCCAAGTAAAGATAGAGTGAAATATCACTAGTCAATGTTTGCAACCATCATCCATAAATGAAGAATGAGAAATGAATAGAAATCAACCAACCATTATATATATATATATATATATATATATATATATATATATATATATATATATATATATTCAATGGTAAACACCCATTAATATTACACCCACTTAGGGTCCACAACCTTAGTATTTAAAGTTAGCTACTCATACTAGAATACAAGAACAAAGTAATAAATAAAGTCATAAAACTTCAAAGAGGCGAAGTCTTGGATTCTCTCTCAAAAGCATCCAAAATAATGGTGTATTCAATGCTCTAAGTGTAGCCTCTTTTTCAGACAAGATGGTCCACAAAAACCCTAATCATTCTATTTATAATGGTCTAAAAGTCATGGTCAAAAAGTGACAAATATGACCCTGCATATCAAGTTTGCGACTGCAAAATGGGTCACAAAACGCATTCGTGGTCCGCACATCTTCATTTTCACCGCAAAATTGATCACAGAGTTTTCCAGTTTTTCATTGCATTTTGGTTATGCGGTGCGCGTATTGGTTTCGCGACCGCATATCGTACCGCAAAGTCATCTTCACTGAAAATCCTTTTGCATTTGTGCGATCACTATGCGATCCGCACAAGAGTTATGCCATCGCACAATGGATCACAGATTTGACTCTCAGATAGTAGGATGGTCTACTTCACTCTGCGATGGGTCTGCGGTCCGCACATCACTTTTGCGGTCGCAGACCTTCTGCATTTCTACCTTTTCATTGGTTTTTGTCATCTTTTTCATGATCTTAGTTCTTCAAGTCCGGTTTCTTGCAAGACACCAAAACTACATAATAAATGACTTATAATGCTTTAAAAGATGAGCTAAAGTCTACGTAATTAGTATCAAAAGTGCTGTATTTCTACGGCACATCAATAGGCTTGCATTGCCTCCTAGCCTAGCAGGCGTACATCTGGTATTTCTTGTTTCCATACTTCAGAAATACCATGAGGATAGGTCGCATGTTTTGGACTTCGGCACGGTGCAACTTGATGAGAATTTGACATACAAGGAAGAGTCGGTGGCTATTCTAAACCAGTAGGTTCAAAACTCGAGATCTAAGAGTTTTCCTTTTATGAAAGTGTATTGGAGAGGTCAGCCGATTGAGGAGGTTACTTGAGAGTCCGAGTCTGATATGAGGAGTAGATACTCGTACCTTTTTGACAGTCCAGGTACCTTTCTATGTCTGTTCGAGGATGAACATTTCGAGGACGAACGTTTCTTTTAGAGGTGGAGAATGTAATTACCTGATAGGTTGTTTTGAGTACTAACTCCCTTTTCTGTGTTTCGAAACTTAACATTGCTCAATTTGATGATTCATAACTTATATGCATGGTCTGTATCAATTTTCAGAAAGTTTAAATATTAATTTTTGAAGAAAATGTGATTTTTAACTTTAAATATGGCTAGAGTTGACCACGGTCAACGTTTTTAGTAAACGACCTTGGATCAGTATTTTGACGATTCTGGTAGGTTTGTATGATATTTTTTGGACTTGTATGCATTTTTGGTTGGGATACCGGGCGACCCGAGACCGTTTCGGGGCTTTATGTGAAAAGTTGGAAAAATGAGTTTTGAAGTTGAAAATCATGAGTTTTGATGATCGATTCTTGATATTTGATATTATTTTGATTATTTGAGTTAGCGAGCGAGTTTTCATGATGTTACACTTATGTGGATGTTCGGATTGGAACCCGAGGGGCTCGGATGAGTTTCGGATGCATTGTAGATAGTTTTGGATAGCTGATGCAATAGCTAGTGTTGCTAAACTGCAGGTCTCGCAATTGGGAGAACCTGTTCGCAAATGTGATCACATTTACGATGTTAGGATCGCATTTGCGATAATGGGCATGGCTGGGAGACTTCACAATTGCAAAGTCTGTGTCACTTTTGTGAGCCATGAGGGTATTTGCGATGGCAGTGTCGCAATTGCGACACTGAGCATGGGCAAGGTAGCTTCAAAAATGTGAAGCTTGGTCCATTTGTGATGAAGAGGTCCTTCGCAATTGCGAAGGAAGAGTCGCATTTGCAACATCTGAGGCACTGAGACACTAATTGTGAATTCAGTGGTACGCATTAGCGAACATCGCAATTGCGAACAAGAGTTCGCAATTGCGATATCTGCAGCTGGGTAAAATGTGGGAATTTCGGGACTTAGCTCATTTTAACCATTTTTGAAACCTTAGACGCCATATAGGTGATTGGAGAGCAATTTCTTCCCAACTTCATAGGTCAGTAACTTTGACTTGATTTTATTTAATTTTCATTACTTTTTCATGAATTTGATCATCAAATCTAGGATTTTTAGAGTAGAAATTTGTGGGTTTTGGGTAGAATTCAGGGATTTTGTAAAATTGTGATGTAGATCTTAAATTGAGGTAAAATTTCGAAATAAATTATATATTCGGGCTCGGGGGTGAATGGGTAATCGAGATTTGATCTTAATTTTGAATTTCGACCACGTGAGTTCGTGTTGAATTTTTGTTGACCTTTTCAATTATAATAAAGATTGAACCTTTTTTATTCGTGTGTAGTTTCTAAAGATTGTTTTAAATTGTATGAATGATATTTCACTAGAATTAGTGTTACTTGTACCATATTATTTTGTGTATTATGTCTTCCAGGTTTTAGATAGATTGTTTAATTCTTTGATTACTCGTTTTCATGATGTTTCTTATATTGAGATTATTGTGATATTGGGTGTTGAGATCATGAAAATTGTTGATTGGTTGTTAGCACTAATGGTTGGGAGATTCTCATATGACGAGTTGTGCTCAAATACTATTGTTGATGTTGAATATGCTTCCCACCTTGTTTAGCAGTGTGTTGTATGTTATTTCTTGGTGAGGAAGAGTGAAATGCACGAAGGGTGTTGCCATGCCTTATTTACATATTGATATCATTGCTTGAGTTAACGTGGGGATAAAGCACGAAGGGTGATTTCATGCACTTGATTTATTATTATTTTGTGAGGATGAGAGTAAAAACACGAAGGGCGATGCCGTGCACTTGCTTTAATATTATTATGTAAGGATGACATTAAAAGCACGAAGGGTGATGTCATGCACTTGCATTTATATTATATGTGAGGATGAGAGTAAAAGCACGAATGGTGATGCCATGCAATTTTGTTGATTTCATTGCTTTTACTTTGATATTTTCAATGTGGACTTGTTTTTGTGGTATCCTTATTTATTGTCGAAAAAGGTTTACTCTGTGATACTTTACTTTATGTTCAGTTTGTTGCCCTTAATGTTGTAATTGTTAACCCCTTTCACATGACCCCGTACAGTTGTTATATTTGATTCTATACTTGTTATTTCGTTACTTCTTGATATATAAACTACATACGTTTATGTAGGTGTCTTGTCCTAGCCTCGTCACTACATCGTCGAGGTTAGGCTCCACACTTACTAAGTATATTGAATCGATTGTACCCGTACTGTTCTGCACTTCTTTTGCATATCCGAATATCGGTACCACCGAAGTCCCTAGAGGTTCTTAACATATACCGGGTTGGTGATTCCAAATACAGCTGCATCCCGTTCGCAAGACTTGAGTCATCATCTTATTTCTATTGTACTGATTCCATTTCCCGGACAGTGTTGTACTTATTTTGAAACATTGTATTTAGTATACACTAGTAGCTCATGTACTTGTGACTCAACATCTTAGGATGGCTTGCGTTAGATATTGGTTTTAGACGTATTATGTGTATCTTCGAGTTGCTTTTACAATGTTATTACTCTGTTGCTAGTTAATTATTGCAGTATTTCATATTTATTTCTTATGTGTTGGCTTGCCTAGCAAGCAGTGTTAGGTTCCACCACGCTCCCAATTGGTTGAGATTTTGGGTCGTGACAAAGCGTATTACTATGGATTTTGTGGTTGGGCTGCCACGGACCTTCAGGAGATTTGATGACACTGTGGATAGACTAACTAATTTTGCATACTTCATTCCAGTCATGGCTTCCTACACTTTAGAGTAGTTGGCTCGAATATGTCTTAGAGATATTGTTTGCCTGCATGGTGTGCCTGTGTCTATTAACTCGGATCAAGACACTCAGTTTACATCACATTTTGGAGAGCGGTGCAGCGTGAGTTGGGCACACAAGTTGAGTTGAGTACGACATTTCATCCCCAGACAGACAGACAGTCTGAGCATACTATTTAGATCTTGAAGGACATGTTGAGAGTATTAGCCATTGATTTTGGGGTCAGTGGAATCAGTTTTTGCCGTTAGCAGATTTTGCCTACAATAATAACTACCAGTCAAGTATCCAGATGGCTCTGTATGAGGTCTTGTACGGATGGCAATTACGTTC